AAATGGGTAGCGGAAAGAAAGCAACGGCAATCACTGTACAGAAGCATGTGTTCATTTGTGCACAAAAAACAGTGGAAACGGAATAGTAATACGTCTGTCAATTCTCAAATAGGTACAACACTCTGGGAGTGTGTGGCAATCCTTTACCTCCCACATTTGTGAATTTGTATACTTGTCCAATTGTCCACTTCCGGTGAACCGTTTGGAACATAAACTAATCTAGCACTTACCATGGGTGGTGATTTTCTGTCTATACAGACACAACGGGTTTTATAAATCTGTGGAACATTCTACTTGTTTGATACCTATAGTGAAGCACAAATGCCGCATAAACTATTCGCTCAGAAGCTCTCATGTTCTTGCACAGAAGCGATTCTGTACNCGCATGAAATCCCATAGGGGAAGCGAACGATTTGCAGACGTGTTGTGGTTTCGAACAACGGCCTTCTTCTCGACAGTGAAACGATGTATTGGATCTTGAATTCAGAGTAAACTAGACTATTGACTGTACTGTTCAGAAATACCAACCTGCTCCACTCTAGTCATCAAGGTGCACTGAACTGCCACCATTTTGTGTTGCTGTGTTACTGTCATCATGTTACTTTGATTAGCTTCGGCTACAAGAATCCCAGTACGCCTCCGATGAGCATGCCCGAATAACCACCGTACTAATTCATCAATCCAATAGATCGATTTCCCTTTTTTATCCTCCATTCATTATCACCCTCCCGAAACATAACTTTTAGATGATGTTTGGTCAACGACTGAACGGGAATACTCCTCCTTTATCACATTCCACGTTCGTTGGAGGGACGGTAAGAATGAGGACCAGAGGTCACGGATGACAGCTGCTGAACGGACCTGATTAGAGACGAGGTTCTTCCTCAAGTGGCATCCGATAGTCTATCGTCTTTGTGTAATCTTCCGTGCTATGGGTGTCATTTATAATCAACCGGTTGAACCATTTACTCGGCATTCTTCTTGAAAAACCGATGGCCTGGGCGATCTTAGGTACTATTTTCCTTATTCCCACATTTCGTTTCTGCATGCATCCAATGAACTCAAAAGAACAGATAAACATGTGAATTGTAGATCTACGAAGTAGGCATCTATCTAACCTTGAAAACACGTCTCGTGGCTTTTGCTCATGCATCAGTAGACTGTATCACGTCAAAATACAGTTGAACTTAGCTAAATTGCGTTTCAAGCAAACGGTGTGGAAATCTAGTATCATCGTCTATTTAGGGAGCAGAAGGCAGTTCCTTAAGAACAATGTACGTTTAACATTCCCATTCGTTCTGATATCCTTGGTTATCGACTTTGGGCAGCGAGCCATCCAACCTGATTTGCCTCTCCCCATTGTTGTGTCAGATCGCTTCCTTGAGAGCATCTCTTCTATGAAAGTAGTCTGAATAGTTTTCTCAAATACTCCATAGGCCTTCACTGTTGACCCGAGACAGCAACCAAAAAATGCGAGAGAGAAATGGTATGGCTGCTTTTTGCGCAGACCAAAGTGGGCCAAACTGCGTGACAGTTGCTTGGAGTTTTATTTATTACTTTCTCCATTTCATTTCCTCTCGTATATAATGAAGGTTGTGTATGTACCATCTCGCAGATTCAGGCGGAAAATCAAACTGTCTTCCATAGTGAATCTTATTGGGAAAAACAGATAGAGAGATGAAAGAGGATTCGAAAGACACCCGGCGAAGAATTCTTTTCTCTTCTGCTACTTCGAGAAGGCTACCGTTTCACTCACAGATTGCGTTCGAGACTTTTCACTTACATGATGTTTTGATTTTGTATGTTGCACTGCAATACTGGAAAATGACCATGTGGTGGATGTATCCATTACACTAGTCGGTCGACTATCTCGAGTCATTGAGGACAGTGTGTCGTACTTGACTCGCAATTGACGATCCATATTACGCAGATAAGAAAGCACGGATTTACAATGCTGCTCCAATATCTGGCGGTTACGAAGAATTCCTAACGCTTCTTCCAGATAGGTGGCCGGATCGAATTGCTTTAAATAGTGCTGCCGTTGTTTTACTGTCCATCTGCAAGTGAAACTCATCCACATACACTTACAATGTACTTGAATCTGCGGTACATGTACGTACCAGATCACAAACGGAAAACTGGTTAGTACAATTTCAATAAACAGAAGCCCGTTTGTTAAAGATAACTCTGTCGCTTTGGCTAGTGGTGTATCTTCAGCCTGATCGTATAGAATACGGAAATTCGTCCAGTCCGCCAGACGAATCAGGCATCGACCGGTGCGTGCCAAACAAAATATACTCACCTGATACAACAGAACACGATACGTTCGAACCCAGTCTAACAGGCGACGTTCAACGCAACACACGGCCAGTCCGATCGGGTTGCGTTGGGAACGTATGCGATGCAGATAGGCTAAGATCTGTTCTGTGGTCAATTTTCGACGCCAGACTAACCAGAGCAGGCAGAAAATGCACAAATGAACATACAGACCGTCAACGAATAAATTCATGTGTTCATCGTAGAACTGATGTACAATCTTTGCGTATTGTGGATCAGGGGCGCACATAAATCGACCCCATTGTTGATGTACTCCGAACACAAGGCCGGAGAAACAGGAGATCATGATCGAAACAGTAAGCAGAGCGATAATCTGACTGTGAATAACTAATGGTGGAGTCGCGCGCATATCGGCCCGATCCCCTTCCCGAAGAATGTGGGCAACCATTAGGAAGACGAGCATATTTTTCCCGCTCAAAATGAAACCACGAAAACCGTTGTAAATTTTACACGTCAAGTGATTGTAAGTGTAGGGTAATTCGATCACCATGCCCCACCATGGAACTCCATAAGCAATCAGGGAATGGAAATGACCACACTGTATCAGAAATAACACATCAAACAAGCTGATCCAAGCCGCGTGGATGTGCGTATGCCCGGGACGGCGTACCCTAAACGTTAACAAGTAGGTCAGCAAGCTGTCGGCAAAAACACCAAAAGTGACTGTAGGTAGCATCATGCAGGCAGCAAATCCGGCAAACACGCGTGCCATATAGCCCCGTATAGTCCATTCGTGACAGGAGAAAAATAGTTCCACGATAGAAAATTCGCTAAAACACCTTGTGTCATTAAAATGCAAACACTGTGGCTCTCCATCTAGATAATATCCTGTTTGTTTCATTGGTGGTTTGTTGATACTGCATGTGATCACCGACCGTTGTAATGAACGCAATGGACTGAGCCAGCCAATGACGCGGTTCGACAAGGACGAAATGCATTGAACGAAGTATTGATCCAAACAGATTTTGAAATAATGAGAGAAAATGAAGTCGCCCTGGCGTTATTACAAGCGTGATCAAATCAAATCCAGTTTACTTGATTGTGGGTTGTGAAAATACTTCCCTATACACGGCTGGGTTGTATGGAGATTCCGACTACAGGTTTGTTCAAGATTTTTTATAGGAGTTTGGGTTAGTGTTGCCATCTAGAAACTCATACCATCGGATTTGATCTTAGATAGAAGAATAGCAACTTACTCAATCGCTCCATCACTTTCACGAGGTTCATGTTTACACATGTCTATCACTGGTTGACTGGTCTTTCAGATCGACGGAGTATCAATTATTTGATGCAATGGAAGTCGTTTATCAAGGTCATTCAATTTAATATACTGGCAAATTGTATCAACATGTGCTCACGTGGCTTTGTCAAGCTTCCCCATGGGCGCTTGGCTGGCGCGGTGCGGCACGGGTACGGTGGCTCAGGGAATAGTACAGGTAGGATTAACTAGAGGGACTTGGACCTGGTGTGTGAAGCAATGCAAGTCAGCAAACGCCAACAAAGCTAACACTAACCTAAAATTGGTGTAGTACATTTTTACTTGATCACGTTCAAGGATGAGAAACCAAACTACAGCAAGCGGAATGTCTTGGTTTCATTTATTCTGATGTTCAAATTGATGTCCGAACCTCCCTTCACACCAAGAACTCCTCTTCAAATATGAAGAGCGAATTTGGCTCCCCAAATCTTCAATGACATAGCGAATTTTACTCCTTCTAGGACCTATTGTAAATTCTGCCCATAACTTGGCACAGGGTGCTGTCCCCTCACAAAGGCACGTGTATGCACACAACTGAAAGCACATAAACTCATTCCAGTCGTGAGTCGTCTCGGTTTAGACGTTAGTCTAGGCGGTCTCTCTGTGTTTGACCGTAGAAATCAGTGTTCAAACGGGATGGGAAATTTGGACTTTAGTAGAAATTTTCGTCTTCTCGAAAGATTCGACGGATGGCGCGGGAGGGGCTGAAAATCAGTGAATCACTCGAAACGAATCAGTTTATGCACATGTAAGAAGTTAACACGCTTACGCAGATGTGAACGCAACCACTTAAGTGTAGGTGTGGACATTATGTATCTGTTGATTAAAAAGCTTATCCACAAGGTAATCATACATTTCGATCAAATTCCCTAGAGCCCTGTCATAAGATCAAATCGAATACCCTGAATAAGAAGCCGCAGCACCTCCAGTCCTGTGACAGAAATAGTCTGAATCGCTTCTCAGTGACAAAAGAAGTAGACCTTTCGTACTTTTAAATTGAAAGTACCGTATTCCCATCAGAAATGTGAGTAGAGAAGTCACAAGGATGGGTTTGCATAATGTATCCTTGATCAGACTACAGACTGCATCCGTGAGCGAGCATACTTTAGTCAAGGTGATTTTTACAGTCGGTGAAATAATAAATGTCAGGTGGAGACAAGACTACTGATTACAACGGTCATTCATTGATGTTTTTTTATAAAGGTCGATTTTGTGATTATGAATAGACAAATTCGGCATATTTCAGTAATTTCTGTTTTGACCGATTCAAAGAGCTAGCTAACTAATCGATTGATGTCACCAGCTTCCAATTGATGCCTTAGGAAAGCTCACATTTTGGGGGCAATTATCTTGCTTCGACATTTCCTTGGAATATCTGGAAATGAATACACTTGTATATCCGTTTGCTTGGAGTACCTTGCCATTACGACGAGACTGCACCTTGACGTGCTGTGATGGCTTGTGTGCCTCCATGTGCTGATTCGTGGTAATCCAACGCGCTGTGACATAGCCAGCCAAGAAACGACGCGATCAAGCTTCAGATCCGCTGATTAGAAACCGGCATTTGGACCAATCGCAGTCCATCTCGTTGAAACAGAAACCATAAGTCCATGAGAACATGAAACACGATTGATCAATACTGATTCAGCCAATGATATTCTTTTTTAGGTTTTATCTTATCTCAATGATGTTTTGTAATAAAGTAACTTCTACCTATGGGGCATTCTTCCTGCATCTCGTTTGCGGCAGATTTGGAAAAACAACTGCCAGTACGATTTCATGTTTCCATTACGATTTTGATTTCGAATGTTGATTCGCATTCCTTACTACACACAGATAGCGGCAATACATGCTAAAGACTATCCCTTTTAACAAATATAGCAACAGCGTTAATGCCCGTGACAAGTTGACT